TTAACCTGTTTCGAATAGCTTTCGTTGTTAAATGGCTCTCGGCCATGAGAATATTGGCCGACAGTGGTTGGATGCACATTTGTGGAACCATCATCATCATCATCTCATCCGTGGTACGATGAGCAGACAGTTGTTGACGGTTGAACTATTTGATGCTTGCCGAATGGCGATGAAACATAAAACGTTTGCAAGTCGTTTGTGTTAAGCCAGGCGACCGATGCCGATTTAGCAGTCGGCTTCAGGATGATTGACAAGACCATAAGCTGTACACAACCATCTATAGCCTATGATAATTGCATTGGACGCGTTTGTGCCTCGTGTGATTGATGTTACTTCATCAGGTCAGCAGCGGTTCACTGTTCTTGCAAGTTCTTACAAGGAATCAGGAGTGACGTGAGTTAAAGCTAGTCCTTGCACGTGAGCTGACGTCTGAACAAAAGATTCTTCAATGTGACCACGGAAAAAAGGATATAAACTTCATGGAAGTCATCTCACCACTGTATATCACAGTAGGTTGAGCAAAAAGTCTCCAGACTAATAGCGATTAGGCTAATCCCCCGAATCTAGTGTGTCTGGGATCGACAGATGTTACGGTATCCGATAGATGACACATCGGTACAATTCATAAGAGGGAATTTCTGATCACTGGAAATCCCCTTTGAACCCTCTTTGAGATTTCTTGACTGACGAATTTCCTCAAGCAAATTCCCTCAGAGTGAAATTTGTTTGTTCCCGCGGTGCGCAGTATACATCCGAGTAAATGGACATTACTGAAACATTGGGGATATTTGGGTGCGATTTTCTAAGTGGCCCTTTTATGAATTTTGACCAACTAACATAAATAAACGAAAGAAGTGTTCCTAATTACAGTGTGTAATGTAAACACATTTTTTCGTTTACGCTAGAATAATGGTGCGTGTTTATGAGTTACTCGACACTTCCACTGATTTACCATGTATCCTCATCTTGATTTTGCGAATTTCCTGGAAATTAAACACCCAGTTTGCTTTAACGTACCTCCTTGAGTAAAAAATAACTGCAACTGGGCTGGTTAAATTGTCTTTGAAAAACGAATATATCTCTCAGTTGAAATTCGATACTGATTTAACTCACGATATTTCTTCTACGCTTGGCCACGTGCTGCGTATGCCAGTCAATCGACTTCATCGAAGGGTTCTCTTCGGACAATCACATGAAGGGTGGAAGAGAGCCAGAGGCGGCCAAACAATGACTTGGTAGTGAAGTGTGAAAGCCATTACCAGCAAACAGCTGCGCTGCTCGTTGCCGTCTTCCGGGATGGGGACCCCGAGACAGGCCACATCAATGGCTAGAGACATTGTCAGACATGGCCCAGTCGTGCTCTCAATGGTGCTCGTGCACCCAAGCTATTACCTTCAATGCATAGCCCCTTTTCCAACCCCCCCTCCCATTTGACAGCCCAATGACAGTGCTGGATTTATGCACCAATTTGTCATCTCCCGCCTGCAATGCGCAGCTACCTACCCCCCCCCCCAATCACGGGTAAACGAAACTACGACAGTACGACGAGTACGCGGTTATTACAGCTGCTCAAACAGAGGAAAGCTGCACTTCCACTGGTGATACATAGACGATACACTCGTCATCGTAGACAAATGCTGCTGAAGATTTGAATAAATTTCAGCCGAATACATCCACCCATTCAGTTTATATCCGAAGTGGAAAACAGTCGTTTCTTCCACTTCTCGACCGTACGTCTACCAATTAAACATTCAAATGCCGGGACAGCACAATTTAACAACTCTTCCACCGAAATGTGAGAAAAATCCACTCTGAAAGCTAACTTGAAGCTGAACTTCAGTCACTTGCCGACATGCTTCGTGAAAATGACTATCCGCACAGGTTCGTCTCAACACGTACAGCCTCCACGACCAAGAAAACCAAACCGGTCACAGCCAAAAGGAAATATATCTTAATCAGCCTTCTTTTCAAGGGGATCTAGCCGGAGGTCATATGACTCGACGTCTACATCATACACTCCTGCAAACCTTTACGGCTGCTTTACTCGAGTTGTAGTCCACGAGTACTCAACCGATGTCCCTACAATCCATTGATAGGCTGCAGGTCCACACTCAAAGCATGCTAGTCTGCCCCTCCATTTGCTGTTATACAGCAGAACACATGGGGCGCATGGCACGGCAATTATGCAAGAAAATAAAAGAGCACAATCCTTTTTGGCCGGAAACCTAATTGAGGCGGTCTATTACTGGTTTAGTGGTCGCCCACTTGGATGGTACGAGTCACCTGACTAATTCCAACACTGTTTTCCGAGTACTGTGCCGCAAGTGTTGTGATCCGCTCACGTAACCAGGATCTGTGCCCTCAGATATCTTTAGCACGCATATTGACTTTTTCATGGCCTGCTCACGTAACAGCTGGCCCCTCAGGCTAATCGATCGTCACATGAATAGTTTTCACAGTTTTACCACCAGACTCCTCCTTACCCGTGTTTTACTTGTATGGGATGCTCGTTTTCATTTTTCTAATTTATCGATCTGCATTGATTTTTTTGGCCAGAAGAAGGGATCACGAATACAGTAATGCTCGATTGACAGTTATTGATAAAGTGCAGGACGAAATACGAGATGCCATGCAGCATTTCTGCTACTCATTGATATAGACTTGTACTGTGAGAAGGAACATTTTTCTGGAATTGAATACTATTGGTTGGTTGATGACCTACGATACAATTCATCTTAGGGCAAATTACCTGGGGCCATGTCGAGTTTCGACTTTTTCTGTTTTTCATCGACGAATAATGGCTGTTTCTACTGTCGTCAGAATAGGCGTCTGACATTAGGATTTTGAGACCTCTATTTGATGCAGCCGCGATTCACAACTTTGGATCAAAATATGTGAGAATAGGATCAGATTTTCCATGAATTTAATGGCACCGGGGATTATTGTCTCGGTTCGGTCGATGCTTTCTCCTTTTCACAACCTGTAGCTTTTTGGGTGGTGTGTAAATGGATGGTAAACTGCAGTCCTCAATGTCCGATGAATTTGGTATTCTCTGCATCACTTTCAAGAGCCCGAATACCGAATTTAGTGACGAAAATGAAATGCGATAGAACTGAAATACACCCTCCAGGTGTTGGAAACGCCAACATTCACGTAGTTTTATTAGTAGGAATTCGATGAAAAATTATATCTGAATATACCACCTAACTAAGAACCTTTGTCACCGGAATTCCGATATACTATGGAATCTTAAAGGAATTTTGTCTTAATGACAGAATTCTGGAAAAGTTTCGATTGTCAGTCTTCCCTTCGATCTTAAGGGCAAATGTACCCAGCAGCACTTATCTGTAAGATCCATGGAGCATTAAGACAGCTATTTTATAGACGGGTGCGGATTCCTGGTGGTCACCAGGCACCGGTTGAGTAATCTACGCATGATATTGTTTTACCGCCTATTCTTCTAACTGCAACCATAGGAACGGTTGTGACTAAATTGCCCACAACGTTCAAGCCGCATAAACATTAACAATGTCCTTCACTATACTATACTATACTATACTATACTATACTATACTATACTATACTATACTAATATCATAAATTGAAGGTGAATGTATCCCTGGTTTTCGTATGTCTTGAACTTAACACATGAAGCCGGTGCCAAGTTCTGTGATATTCTTATGGCACCTCAGAGTTATTTGATTTGATTTGGTTCAAAGGTGTTTGTTAGAAACTTCCAAACTAGGACTTTGTCGAGCCTCAACCATAGTGTGTTCAAAGGGAAGCTGTGCGCTCACTGCATCGAATCTGACAGGGAATAGACACGAGCTTCTGTCGCCCATTTGCCTTTTGGTTGTAAGTGTACCAACAGCTGTAATGTGCATCCGGAAGTCTAGCGTTATCTGACTATAAAAAAGTCCATCAGCAGTTGGCATTGCAAGACAAGAACGCAATGAATTACCACGTGAAAAACATGATGTGTCTAATGGCGTTTACCTTGGTTCTATATATCTCTTTGCGAAGACCTTCAGACAATTGTTCCCAGATTGACTGAGGCCTTCGAATTTACATGGAGGGCCTACAACAGCGGGAGGTACATCACCCATCACTCATCCGACCGAGTTTCATCCACTAGTGATTGAAAGCTAACAAAACCCGCAGAGAGCGTGTCGTGGCTGTACCGTTCGGTGACAGTCCACTCGTCATTGCGCTGTCATTGACTCTCCCACTGGCAGTTTTTGTTGGTTGATATTTTTCCCAGAAGACATTTGCGTGTGTAAGTGTGTTGTTTCCCGGTCGAAATGTGACTGAGGTTACCGGGTTTTCTAAAGCATAAGAGGGCATACCGTATCCAGCTACGTAGCGTACAATTATCCGTTTTTTTCATGAACACGTTTCTCCCTTCATCCTTGGTTCATGAATAAGAACGGCTCCAGGTGCTCTTGTGGTCACATATTCAGGAAAGGGTTAAGTGTTAGTGTGATTTTGAATAACAAGTTACCGAAATCTGTGTGCTTTACGTTGTCAGATGACTGTATTTGCGTTCGTTCTTAATGCTAATCGGAACAGTAGCCGTAACAGGGGCACAAATTAACCCTCATATTTTGTACCACACGCGGACTTGAAAAAAAGAAAGGAGCAAAGAAAACCTGGTAATATGAAGGAACGTTAGCTTAAGAATAGTTCAACTCAGTGGGGTATTTAACTATCTTGTACTGCTTCCAGGAAGTTTCGGATCCTTTTCTTTTTCCACAAAGACTAGAGTCATACATCTTACAACGAAGAGCAAGCGTAAGAAGCGATGCACTGTTCCCAGTCTTGGCAGTGTTCGGCTTTGAGAAGGGAAGAAAGCTATCTTGCATAGACCATCAGTACTGCTTTATTTTGAAATCTGCTGGAAAAATGATCGAAACGAAGAAGCTAACTATTGTAAACCCTCTCAGTTGACAAATTTGAAGATCCTAATCATGCTCTATCCGGTGTGCTATCCTCGATTCCAGGTACTAGCGACGATTATGAAATTTGGACTCCGCATTCCGGCACTGAAGGAGCTCAGGATGGCTGTTTACTTGGAGTCAAACAATACTACAAGAGGCTGCGCAAAGGTTCATTGTAAGTTCTAGAAACATGGTTCATCAAAATGCTTCGCTGTGTTTTTGTATTATAGGGAATTCCCACGGCAACTTGTGATTGGGACAAAGCTAACTCACTTTACTCTTGATGCTAGACAGAAAACTTATCTGACGAGCTGTAATGTTACTTACACGGGATACAAGCAACGTAGAATTGAGTGACAATATGCATTTGTTTTACCTTATCTTAGTCAATGTCACTTTTACCAGAATTCTATTTTTTTCACAAGGCTGCAAAAAGCACATTGTCGCCTTTCACATGTGGACAGAGGGTGAAGTATGCATACTACGTATACTTGTTTTTTTTGAAAAGGGAAATTTATCAGCCTGTACGGAGGCCTCGGCAGGTAACGGAGCACATGTGGGCACAATAATGGCCTATTACCTGTGAAAAGAGGAAAGCCCTTCGTAATGAATTTATTGAAAGCAAACACCAACCAAGCGGTTACAATGTATTAGACATCTCATCTGCACAGAGCTCTTTAAAATTGAAGAAACACAAGTTCCTAGATATTTATTCATTAGTAAGCAACAGTAAACGAACATTGCCAAGAGGTCCATAATTTCCGTATTAACCTTCGCCTTCCATCAGATACTGGGGCGGAGCCTGAACGCAGTGCAATAGGCTACTTGTGTGCTTCTTCAGTAGTATACACCGTTACCTCGGTATGGGAAGAATCGGGTCCACCTGTGTAGTTGACGGCGAATTAGCCCATGTGTTGTCAGATTTGGGGGATTTATAGGATTCACGCTCACATCGATCCATTCGAACAGCTGCCCTCCGGTCCTGGGGCAATAATTCTGGTAAGTCCACAACGAAGGATGGAGACACTGAATTCGAGTTCGGCTCTCATTCGAACTCATCAGCAGTGCATAATCATTGGTCATCCCGCGAAGCTAACGTGTTACCACAAATGCGTCAATGCGAACTGGATGCTTCCGAATGTTTGCATTTTCGTTCTTGATCGGTGATATAACCTTGCTAAGTTGCAGCTGTGCCCTGCATTGCTTGGTGCCACTGTGATATTCTATCCAGATAATCCGATATATCACATCCTGTGGCTGTCCTACTCTAAAGGAATGATCAGGATAAAGGACGATTTCACTCAGTTTTGTCAAGAGAGTTTTGTCCAAGAGAGGAATGTAGTCTTTTAGCCGTATTCAACGTTTACTTCCCTCTGATCGTAAAGTTTGATGAATTCACCACTACCGGTTGATCCTCAAGACTAACCACTTCCGGTTGTACATCGGTTCCGATTCTCATGCAAACAAAATTTACTCATTTCCAGGTGTATCAACGAATATGGCATGCAACCACTGGTTCACACAGAGCGGTGTGAATGCACCCGAGCCGATTACGAGTGGTAAGTGGTTTTGCCCACCCACTGTCAGTATACACTATCAGTGTAGACCTGGTCACACCGTTCCCTTGCATCTGTTTCGCGTTTCTAACGCATCGGCTATCGGTTGACAGTAAGAACGTCAAATTGTTTATACTAGCGCAAAATGTGCAAACAACTTATTGATCACGAATAATCACAACAGGTGCAACTGTTCGAAGTCATGTAGGTGCGGATTGTCACTGTGAGAGAGCCATGTGAATTGACAGTCTCATCTCATTGCCTGGGAATTTAGGCTGCGGTTGAAAATCGCCGTTTTCTTCCCATTCCGTCTCATTTTTTGCTCATTTTTCTATTGGTCAGTTTGGGAAGGAAAGGCTACCCTTAAGAGGAGTGTGCAGAAAAAAAGGGACGTGGCCTGTTGGCCATGAAGGGAAACTACTTACTACATGCTAATTTGTATAACTTCCGTCTGGAGGGGAAAGGCTACCCTTAAGAGGAGTGTGCAGAAAAAAAGGGACGTGGCCTGTTGGCCATGAAGGGAAACTACTTACTACATATGTGCTAATTTGTAGTAAAAATAGTCATGTTTGGTTGCTCGGGGAGCCAGTCAATCGATACCATCGAATCCAAGAATGCCAATACTTCTGGTGAAATGCATTCAATCGCTAACTTCGTGCCATTTGGTCTCAAGTAGAACATAAGGTTGGCGGAATCTCAGAGTCTGCGTCTACCTGATGAGCCCCAAGAAGGCCGAGTCCGGTGTAGGGCTGTCGAGGACTCTTCAGCAACTCTATAAGTAGTGTATTAGGTCAATACCTCCAGTTTACTGAGTGGATTATGGCCTAGACAACATCAGTTACTAATTAGTGTCAACTTCTTTTGATTAGGTCTTTGAAACCCATGGTAGAGCTGCCCAGTAAGCCTCTAGAGAGGGCAAGGACAGTGGGACACTTGAGTTACTGCGTATTAGTTTTTGTCGCCTCATGAGGGCCATCTGGTGTTCAAGTACGAACTAAACGAAATGCAGGTTTGGAGAACAGGCCTACCAAATCAACCCCAGGAAGGAGAAAACATATTTTCACCTAACTTATGAATTTTTGTAGAGAAAACCGGATGGATATTTCCTCCATCTCTCGGAAATGTGCGAATTCATGTCCTAACCGTAGAATCCAGAAGCCTCTACTAAACAGGGACGCTCCTTTCGAGAGTGTATGTGGGGGAAGAAATGTGTACATCTCTCGACAAGATTAAGTTTACCGTTCTGTTCAGTTCAAATTCCGTTATTTTGGTACTAAGATGCCGAAAGTGCCGAAGCGAAACAATAGCTGTGTCAAATTTTAGCCCTAAGAAACTTGGAAAAGTTACAAAACGCAGTTCTGGTGGGAAACAATAGATTATTACCGTTTCTTAAGCTAAACTAGGTTTTGTGTTACTAGCACATGACGCTTGTCTATTTTTTGTCATTCCACTGTAGGAGTTCATTGCGTTCCTTAGGAAACCCCGACGGTTCCAAACTGTTCATCCTCCAAAATAGCATTGCATGGCTTTTGAGCTTCATTCATGATCAGAGCAATTTACACCAGCGGTCATTTTCCCCGAGTTTGTAATTTCAAGTACCTGTGTCTTTTCGCATTCGAGTTTTAACCTATTTTATTTGGGTGACTTCGGAGAACAGGTCTCTATAGACTCTTAGAAACTACTGATCAGTTGACGCGCAAAAACACAATATTGTAGAATCTTCTGTAGCGTTACGTAAGCTGCACAAAGCGTCTGTGTTCAGACCTGCACAGGGGAGCGATCCTTCAGGCTGTCCGCTCAACTAGATAGCTGTACATTGAGGCCCTGCCGCAAAATTACCTGAAACACGACCAGACTTTACCTTTGAGGTCAACACAAATCAAGGCAGCTGCTACGGTCGTGGTTCCGAGCCCTCTCTCGGATGTGCCGATGACGTCACTTGACTATGCTTTTCTTACCGTAATTGCCAGGTCAGAGTGTGGTCATACCCAGGGTCTGTGAGCTGAACACAGCGACTTGAGTGGTGCCACAATTGCTGCTGTCACTGGGTCACGTAACCGTTGGTCGGCCATGCGGTGATGCCGGTTGACTGCGCACCTGATTGGAAAGTTGAACTGATTGACCAACAGCAGTGGATTTTGTTGGCATTTGACCTTCCAGCTAGTAGCATACCCGTTATGCCTGGATCGGCTGACCAGCAGAGTGATTAACTGGCACTTGGACAAGATAAATGGAATATATATATATATATATAATGATGCAGGTTGAGGGCTTAAAACTTCCTGCAATTTCGTGGGATGTACACGGCTGATGATTCCTAATAAGGATGAACCAGCTGCACAGTGCCTCTCGGCTTTTTGGCACAGACTGACCTCACTTGCAACACGAAATCTCATTTGCGGATTCCACATGTTCCAAGACTTATCTGCACTGAAGCCGTATATTTTTAGCTGATTAGCAAACTGCATAAGCAAAATAATAAATATTTTTTGCGACACTAATTTCATCTTCGGATAAAAAACCCGAAAACAAACTAGACTTTTACTTCTGACAACGAAGTTGTGAAGAATTTAGATGAAAATTAAAAACAGCCCATTCGGCTAAACCTACAACGGTTGTGTTTGGTTTTAGAGTCGGGCTTGACCCTTGCGACTGCAAATTGTGATTTAGTTCAAGAATAACCGAAAAAAAATTACGCATCGGAAAAGTATTTTTCTTTTCAGTGTTCTAGTAATAAAACGGGCGATTTAAGGGTTGATGTTCCTGTGCCTGGTGTGGTAGGGAAACATTCCATCTTTCCGGCAAACAGACGGACATTCATGTGACTCCGGTGGTCAAGGCCAGTTGTAGTGTAAGCCACAAAGCCAGCATCGTACTGATCACGTGACTGTCTGGCTCGCTGGTATCAGTGGGATGGGGATATGTATCCTGCGAACTTTAAATGAAGGAAATACCGCAGACGAACTAAGCATAATGGAGTGTTTCTCCTTGAAAAATTGCGGGGTCCAATTCTCCAAATGGAATATCGTTTCGCTAATGGACCAAATCTGTACTGGAGGGCCCAAAACTCAATGGTTAATCCTTATTAGGAATTATGGGCATCAGGCGTCTAGTGAACCCCTAGAGAGATTGCAAACCGCTATTTTCTGGTCGGTAGCTAAATATCGCAACGGAGCTACGAATAGAACGGGATTAGGACTGCATCCTTGATGGCACTTAAACTGTAATCGCTCATCCTGTCCTCACTGAACATTTGGCTCTGCATACGAATTTTCTTGGTATCTTTTGATCTATTCTAATCAGTAACGTAATATCGTCATTTTGGGTCTCTTTCCCTCGTGTGCTGCCAAGTAACCCTTAGGAAACGGCAATTGTTGTATCACCAAGGTGGAACCTCCAGGTAAAACTGCATACCTGTATTGGGTAATGAGTTTCAGACTTAAATTTTGTAAATATTCTTTATTTTTTTCATTCCAAATCAAGATTTAACTGATTAGGTATGTCACTAGATACAAAATAAATGCTAAAGGTCAGTCTCACGTTCAAAATCGAGTGGATTACAAAATGTTGTGCTGTTTTCATTTCCGTTTCTATCACATATTTTATAGTTGAAAGCCAACGTATGTCACACAGATTTCCGTCTTATTTCAACGGTTGCTTTCCAGTGTTCCGTGCTCTCGAACCAAAATTTCTGCGTGAAAAACCTAATGATCATGCGGTTGTGTCACTGGTCAGTTGTAACAGAAAAGTCTCGGTTTCCAAGCCTCACGAAATCGCCATCTACACAAATGTCTTAATTTGCTTAAATAAAAATTCTCAATATATCATAAACAACAAAGGCAAGCTTCATGACGGGTCCCTCTCACTACGGGCCCGAAATTTTCCCTAATGGAGTTGCGTGCGGATGCAGGCCAAACACAAGAATCTTACCGTGACTTTTTCACTTGTTAACACGGTATTTGCTTACTGAAACTCAAGTCTCGATTATGGTTCGGCCCTGGCTTCTCCGCTTGTTTTTTTCAGACAGAGGACCAAATCCCATCCACTAACACCCATCAGCAATTAGTAGGTTCGGCGCATTCCTGTTACCGTTGAGGGATTAGCGATTTTGATGAGTGCCTGCTTGGAACACACATGATGAAATCCTGTTGACCGACGTCTGACTGACATTGGTTTGCATAAGATTTGCTGAATGTGTGAACACAATTACTAGTCTGCCTCTTCAAAACCGTCTCATCGTTTAAGCTTTAGCTTACCGTCCTGCTTTCCTTACGAGAAACCTGAGTACTTCTCTACTCTCCCTCGTCTGGTTGTGCCGCTGAACCGGTGCGGGAAGGCTGGCACCTGGTAGGTTTTTATCTTGTGTTCTTGCGTCTCTGTACAGGTTTTCCGAGTGCATCTGTTTGACTGTGCTAACTAGTTGCACACAATTTCATCAAAAGTGTGCCACCCACGGTTACATGAATGCTACACTCCAAGCTTACACCGTGGATTCTCAATACAAAAACCATGATATCAGAGATTTTACCACAATAATCGATCTGGGTGATATCTGGAACGAATAGGTAGTGTGACGCAGTTACACCAGACTGGACGCACACTTAATACCTCAGTTGTTTGCACTTCAATTGCGGCAATCACCGATCTGGTGGGAAATCGCTTTAGAATACAACCCCGAAAGCAGTCCCAAGCGTATGAGAAGCATTTTAGATCTTGCTGTCTAGTCCCAGCAACCATTGTACAAGGATATTCGTGTACTTATTAGTAACAGTAAGCACACATTTAATAGCGCACTTCTCCGCGTTTTCCTCGCCGAATTCAGGCACAGTTACGTTGTTCTCTGTGTTATGGGAAATAACCATCTGAAGGACTGAAGGGACCACCTTCCTCTAAGTGCATTTCAGAATGTTGTTTTGGCCACAAACAGTGAATTTTGATGACAGAATACTAAAGAAATGTCCAATAAACTCTTCATTTTTATGCTTGTCCTCTGATCACGGG